GGTAACTGGGACGTGACGTTATGTTTCTTATCCTATTTTACTTTTTGCCTCAGGGGCCCAGGGCGACGTAAAAAGAATCCCGACATTCCTCCCGAGCTGCTAAACAATCCGTTCAAGCATTTCAAAGTCGATCATCACGCTGAAAGACCTGTCAACATATCGAACGGAGAACCAATGAAGACAGACGATACGAACAAGTCCATTTCGGGCGATTCGTCGCCTAATGCTGGTGTAACTTTGACGATTGAAGGGTCACGTGATGCCAACAACAATTCAACTGGGGCTGAAAGGAAAGACCCACAGTTCAGAACGCCAATTTCCCGACCGCCTGAGCGCGCTCTGAACATGACACCGTCCAATCTCACGCCACCATGTCTTCACGGGAGCCCGCGATATTCTACCACACACGTAATTCATTCTCCAACGAACGCTCCGCCATCACGTATCATAAGCCCGCCCAATGGCGTTGCCGTGCCGCCAAACTCTCAGTCATGCGCGTTCAACTTTCCACCTCGTCCTCAGGCGTCTTTGAGTCCGCAAGGAAATGTGTTGAGTCCAGCAACGAATGGCGGTCCACCTAGCAACGGTGCGTCAGCGGTGGCCAATCGCAGCCCAGGAAGGTCTCCTAGTGTGGGAGAGGCAATGAACGTTGAAGCCTCGGTACCTCATGTCAGTAGCACTGGCACATCTGAGCATGTGGAGTTCAGGAATGCCGCTGTTAATGATACGGGTTCTGAAATGTCAGCCTCTTCGCCACACGTGTTATCTCGAGAGGTTTGTTACTGAGACCATAACTTATTTTTAGACATTTTACAATTAACTAGATTCTATCACTAATTTGATTTAATTTTCCTCTTCAGCCTGAATTCAGGGAGCCTGGATCCACGGGTTAGTTTTAGCTGTGATTTTCAGGATGTAACTTTAACAGAGCTACAAATGAATCTTTCACTACAAGATTTATCTTTCACACAGTACTCAAATTATCACTGCCTTCTTCCTTTTGCAGAAAGTCTTCTGTTGAACATACAGGGTCTTCTGAAGGTGGCTGCAGAAAATACGAGACAGAACGAGAGACAAGCTATTTACGAAAGAAGTAAGTAACGTCATCGAGAAATACGTTCCGATTCTTGTTCGTACCTCAATGACGTCTCAATCGAGTTAACCCTTTAACTCCGAGAAGTGATTAACATGTAACTTCTTCCAATAATATCCATATATTATGCGCAAACAGGTAATGAGAATACTCAAACTTATCAGGTAGAAGTTAATATCTCGATCTAACACCAAATTCTCGTAACTAATTTACAAGGAAATGTGTAGCAGCTAGAGAGAGGAATTTACAATCAGATCTCGGGAGTTAAGGGTTAAACTAATTTATCTATTTTATGCCTTTCTTCTTAGATGAACTTCGCCGATACATTCATCGCGAGCGTGAGGTTCGAGAGAAGGCCGAAAGACAATCCGCTGCTCTGCAGAGAGGAAAAGGTAAACACAATTCTCCCTTCGGGCCTTCATTCGTTATCTTCGACTCTTCCTACTGCCAAGATGTCAATGTTTATTTCATTTCCTGACTGCCTCACAGTTTTCGTGTATCAGTTCTTAGAGTTAAGTATTATATCAAGGAAAACTGGTGGCGGCAAGAAAACTGTCGTTGTGAGGTGTATCGATTTGCAAGAAGGCAGATGTGATTACTTCAAAAGACGGGACGGATTGATTTATGTGAAATTCCGGTTGTTTTAATCAAACACGAAAAATTGTATTCACAAACGAAAATTGACGAAAATCCGCTTAATCTAAACTGGTTATAGTTTGCTTCAAGTTCAGGCTAACCATGCCGTTATGCGAAATTCAGCGCCAGTAGTCGCACGCTCGATCACGGTAAAAAAGGAAGTCTTATGCTCTTGCATCCCGTGACTTAGTCAGTGTAATAAATACGCGGCGAGCTCTATCGGGCTTTATTATTATATATGTTTCATTATTTAAACTCGACGTCACAGGAGCTATTTACTAGGATATGAACTCTTTTGGGAACTTTAAGTATGCATGCAATTCTTGCGATTCTGCTCCTACAAGTGTACGCGTTTCGGTTTTTTTTTTCGCTTGAACCGTGACGAAGCAGCGTAAACGCGGATAGTTTCCCTTCTGTAAGCATGATTGCGCATGTCATTGCCACCGGCTGTTTTGAAACTCGGTCTGTTAGGCACAGCTAGTATGTCTGCGTTTCAGTTTGAAAATAAGCACGAAAAGAAAAGCGTGAATTAATGAAGTAGACTACTGAATTGCTCAAGACTTGTGTTGCTGATTATAGCTTTACCACTCATATTTTTTCGGATTTTTCCTTCAGCTTTTCTTCAAAAGAAACTCAAGAAAGAAAAGAGAGCGCGGCGTAAGCTCGCTGAACAACTCCTTGGTAAGTTCTGGACACTCCTTTCAAATTCTTCATATCAGCGACTATTTTAAGCAATCAATTATTTACTGCAATATAGTTGTAGAAGTTCTAAGTATCTTCAGTAGTAAGCCACTGGAAATTAGACGTTCACTTTCTCTTTTGAATTGGTGCGGACTGTTAAGCCCTGGGTAGTTTGCTTAATAGCGAAAGAACTTTGTAGTGTGACAGGAAAAGTTAATCGTTGTTCAGTCTTCGTCTTCCTCTATGGAAGAGTATATTTTTCGACTAGAAATCAAATAGTAGCCATATTATCTCACATCTCTTAAACCTTAAGATTGATATGCATCTTATTTCTCCCAACACCACCCCTAAATCAAACCTTAAGGTCATGAGAATAAAAGAAATGATCGTGAGATCACTAAAGAAGGTGATTCTCCCTGTAAGTACCCTGGGAAAAGTATAGAGAACAGAATGGAGATTTTGCAAACCGATGTTTAGGGTGTTTAAGTGTAGCAGAGTACTGGTAGAACGTTGAGTTTGATTCTTTTCTTTCGAATTCGTCAGAGGAACAACAACGATGTGAGCTGCTTGAAGAACAGCTGAGACAAACGACCCAAGATGCTCTTAAACAGCGAAACGGTGAGCAAGCTATGTATAGACAGTTTATGAAAGAAGTTCACCTAACTGCCTCGTATAATGTTTAAAGAAGGAAAATACCA